TACCTTCACGGACACTTTCAATATCGTGCAAAAACAAACCAAAGAGACACTAGACAGAATAATGACCTTACGATGCCTCAGTATAGGCTGGTCACTGGCCAAAATGACTTTCACCTACCGTAGGGCAAAACTGTACAATACTATAGCTTTAAAGATGAGGGAATCAAAACGGTAAACAACCACACACAATTCGCTTTGAAGCAAATGTTAAGGAGCTTTAGCAACGCGACGACGGTATTAAAAAAGGTCGCTAAAAATGAATTTGCGTCTTTTTCAATTTAGAGGATTTTCCTGGAGTTGAATTCTTAAGGATCTTATCCAGGTTCAAAAAGAAATATGTTCACCTCCCCGTAGAACGTTGCATTTGAAGGCTTCACGTCGCAGTAGTGCTGTGGACATCAAATAAATGCGTTGTCGTGGTTGTTTAAGCTCCCTGTTGGCATGAGGGTTTAGCCCGGCAGGATTCGTGTGAACTTAGTTTGAGGGGCTCCCGAACGAGCATGAGTAAAACAGGAAATGACTTCCAGACAACATCACGTTTGTATGACAAAAACACTGTACCGATCTTTTTTCGTGTCTGCGTATAAACTTGGGAGGGAATGTTGTTCTGGTCAAGCCCCTTTAAGTTTTCTTTCGGGTGGTGAAGTTTGTCTGTTCAAGTAACATTACTTCGCATTTGCAAGGATGTGGAGTTGGGCGGTTGTTAACACACCAGGTAAACTCAACTAAAATTTTCAATCGATGCAATGAAAACTACACAACAAAGCTGTCTCGAATCTGAGCGTGTTTCCTAAAAAAATTGCTTGAATTTAACATCAGCTCAACTAAAAAGACAATAACACAATGCGTCGTTTGCATCATGAAGATATTTCAATGCTATGCTTCTAAACACCTTTAGCAGTAATAAAAGAAGTAAAAATTGGAAAGAATCAAAATGGCGGTCTCTTAGCACCCTTGTTTGACCTTAAGCAATATCATCAACGGTTAGATCCCAAAATCTGGTTGGTTCTTACGCATCAACTCATAGTACCTTCAACCTTATTGGCCCCTGCAATAAACACCCGAACATACAAAGCCACAAAGATACATACGCCCAAACCACTGACATATGAGCTATTTTTTCAAAATAGCTCAAAAATGAAACTCCTCTTCAACTAATAATGTACTTTTTGCCCTTTTATGTCAGAATTATATTTCTTCTTTCCTAACCAAGTAACTGATAAGTCAAACTACTTACCTCCAGCTAAGTTTGTCGCGTCTGACCTGCTATCAAACCTTTAACGTCTGTTTGCTCTGGAAGATAGAATCAAAAAGTCCTCTGCATGAATACAGAGCTATTTCGTTGACACTTTTAACAGGGAAAATTACAAACTCACATCCCTCCGCAGAAGAGAAAAGCTACATAAATGTAACTGAAGCTAAAGAAAAAGCATGTCGCTCGTTGTCGCTCAACCTGTGAAGCGGAATTTAAGAGATCTCGGCGAATATTTCCACAAAATAGTAAAAGAAAGACAAAAGATTGAATCATCATGCAATTACAGACAATAAATTTTTTGTCGCTGAACCTGTAAAATAGATGAACTTAAAAGATTCAAAACTTTGAGTCAGAGTAAGTAAAGTTTTTACCTTACCGGCGTCTTAAATTACAGATATCACTTTATAAAATAAAACAAGGTTATATCCAATTCAGTGGACACCGAACTAGACAATTTAATTAGTCTAAGCGTGCAATTTTTATATTTACTTTGAGACATCTTAAACAAAATATCCCTTAATAAAACAAAAAAGGAAGCTCCCCTTCAAGCACAATGCAGTTTTTGCCTTTTTAAGTCACAAAAAAAAAAAAAAAAAAAATATATATATATATATATATATATATATATATCCCATTCCTAAACTAGTCATAAAACAAGTCAAGCTATACTTACCTGCGCCGGGCGAAGTTTGTCAGTCGCGCCTGGCGTGCTATCAGATCTTCAAAGGGTGTTTTGCTCTGGAAGATAAAATCAAGAAGTCCCCGTTGCTACGTGTGGACGGCGAGCTATTTCGTTGACACGTTTTTAACACGGAAAATAAAAGACCCGGCGCATGCCGCCACTTTAAAGAAAAGCCACATGAATATAACGGAAACTAAAGACAATGCATGTCCCTCGCTTCCGCTAAACCTGCGAAGCGGAACTTATAATGTATAAGATCTTGGTGAATGCAAGAAAGACAAAACCATCTTGCTCCCATATTATTATTTCAAATACGTTTAACACGTAAGGCGATTTACGCTCATTGCTAACGTACACTTCTATGCTAACCTGCCAGGAGAGACGAAAGTTCTGACCAACAAACTCGCCTTTACGGTTCATGAAAAGAATCAACCAAATGCATAAAAGGTAAACAAAATTGCATGAATAAAATTTACACAAAAGGGAAAAACCCGTCAATTTTTGTTGCTCAACTTGCAAACTGGATGAATTGTTGAAAAGATTAAAAACTTTTAGGGAGAATA